GTTTCATTGATATTTTTTTGTAAAGAGGGTGTTTGTCGACAGTCGTGTCAAATGCTAGTTTTTTTTAAATGTATTGCTCGTAGAACCTATTTTTATACTTTCATTGTGTTTTTGACCTCAGTTTGGAGGTTAACTATTTGCCATAGCTAGGACCCTAACAGGGTCCTGCCACCCCTGGTCAGGGTGGACCTGGGAACAACAGAAATTAAAAGGTGGTTCCCACTACTCAAAACTTCCCGGTCAGAGGTCTTTTACCGGAAGTGGTTTATCGTCATACCAATGATAGATAAAGGAAAGACTTGAAACAAGAAAAATATGTTCCTACAGAAGCATGCTGAGAATACCATGCCTGTTACATATAAGCAACGAGGAGGTTTTAAAGAAAATGGAAACAAAATGATGTTTGTACTTAGATTCAGAAGCAAACAATTAAAATGTTTGTGTCAAATAATGAGGAAAAGAAGATTTGGGGAATTTGACACTCAGAAGGTATATTGAAGAGGAGGAAAAAGAAGGAAGAGCGGGTAACCTAACGAGCAGATTGTGTAGATGGATGGCAGAGGGGATTATGAAGGATAGCATAGTGGGGAAGTTGTGGAGAGTCATGATTGATCACATCCTGTATTAAGGCAGCAAGTAAAAAGACAGAAGCGTGTTATTGTTGGGGCATCTGCTCCATCACACCCGCCTTTTTTTCTTTCTGAAATACTAATGAAGAGCAAAGACACCGGGTGTGTTTTCCTTTAAGCATCGGCATCAGCCATGAAGAAGATTTAGGGGTGAGGAGGAGGAGGATTGTTTAAATTGGGGTGGGTTGAGGAAACTTGACTGTTTTTGGCACGCGAACCAACATCAGGTCGGGTGCCAGTTCTTTTAACTCCGGAAGACCTTAACATATTTTTTTAAAATATGAATATAACCTCGATTTATTCTGTTCCATTTATTTATTTTCTTTCTTTCTTCTTTTCTTTTTTCCTCCCTCTCCCTTTTCTTTATCGCTTTCTTTCTTTCATTCATTCTTTCTTTTTTTCTATCTTTCTGTCTTTTTATTCTTCCTATTTTTTCTTTTGTCTGTCTCGTTTTTCTTTTCTTCTTCTCTCTTTTTTCTCCCTCTTCTTCTCAATTTTGTTCTTTCTTTTCCTCTTTTCATTTCACTTTTTCTTCCTCACTTTTTCTTTACTCTCTTTGTTCTTTGTTTACATCCCCTCTCTCTCTTTCTTTCTTTCTTTCTTTCTTTTTATTCCTCCTCTCTTTCTTTATTTCTTTCTTTCTTTTTTTATTTATTTATTTAATTATTTATTTATCTTTATTCCTCCTCTTTCTTTCTTTCTTTCTTTCTTTCTTTCTTTATTTATTTATTTATTTATTTTTATTCCTCCTCTCTTTCTTTCTTTCTTTCTTTTTATTCCTCCTCTCTTTCTTTCTTTTTCTTTCTTTCTTTCTTTATTTATTTTTATTCCTTCTCTCTTTCTTTCTTTCTTTCTTTCTTTTTTTATTTATTTTTATTCCTCCTCTCTTTCTTTCTTTTTATTCATCCTCTCTTTTAATTCTTTCTTTCTTTCTTTTTGTTTCTCCTCTCTTTCTTTCTTTCTTCCTTTATTTGTATTCCTCCTTTCTTTCTTTCTTTCTTTCTTTCTTTCTTTCTTTCTTTCTTTTTATTCCTCCTCTCTTTCTTTCTTTCTTTCTTTCTTTCTTTCTTCTTATTCCTCCTCTCTTTCTTTCTTTCTTTCTTTTTATTCCTTCTCTCTTTTTTCTTTGTTTTGTCTTATTTTTCTTTTCTTGTCCACTTTTTTCTTTACTCTCTTTTTTGTTTTATATCCCCTTTGTTTGTTTGTTTTTTTCTTTCTTTCTTTCTTTCTTTCTTTCTTTCTTTCTTTCTCTCTCTCTCTCTCTCCCTCTCTCTTTATTCTCTTTCTTTCTTTCTCTCTCTTTTCTTTCTCTTTTTTTCTTTGCTTCATCGCATTTTTCTTTTTTTCCTCTCTCTTTTTAGTCCTTCTTCTCATTTTTCTTTCGTTTTTCGCCTCCTTTCACTTTTTCTCCTTTCTCTTTCTTTCTTTCTTTCTTTCTTTTTTCTCTTTCTTTCTTTTTCTCTTTCTTTTTTTCTTTCTTTCTTTTTTCTTTCTTTTTTTTTTTCTTTCTTTCTTTCTTTCTTTCTTTCTTTTTCTCCCTGTCTTTCTTTCATTCTTTCTCTTTCATTCTAATCTCTTTTAAAAAACTTCGTCTCATTTTCTTTTTTTTTCTCTCTCTCTCTCTTTCTTCCTCTTTTTCCCAATTTTTTTCATGCTTTTCTTCTTCTGATTTCACTTTTTCTTCCTCACTTTTTCTTTACCCTGTTACTTCCTACTTTATATCTCCTCTCTTTCTGTTTCTTTCTTTCTTTCTCCTTCGCTCTCTTAGTTTTTCTTCGACCATTTCTTGTCAGGTTCTCACTTAATCATAACCTCTATATTCCTCCATTCTTCGCCTGCTATCCAACATACTTTATTCGTTACCTTTAACTACTCGATGGGGGGAGGCGTCGACGAAGGCCCGTCTATACGGGCCTACCATTATCCATTTTCCGTGTCCAGGCGTCTCAGTTACATTTTAACCATTTTCTGGCCGTTCCTACGACCTTCAAACCCAAACATTATGGAATTAAACGTACGCATCATCAAACATACGCGACGTTGTTTTAAGCTAAAACAGACCGTAGAAAATTAGTCGCGGCCCTCAAGAGTAAAGTTTTACAGTAATCTATTGAGCATATGTTTAATATCAAGAATATTTAACATCGAAAAACATAAGAAAAATTAATTCCTTTTAATAATATGTGGAAATATTCACTCTTTGCCTGATGAAGGTCGTGAGACCGGAAACGCGTGCAGCAAAATTATGGAAAATAAAGCATAATATATTTTTTTTTTTAAATCCATATTACAACCAAAAATGTTTGCGGTTTCTCTCTTCTTTTTATTATACACTCTTTTCTCTTGTTGGAACTACTATAACCTCTTCCTTATATATATATATATATATATATATATATATATATATATATATATATATATATATATATATATAGCGTTAGATGCATAAAAGGCATCCATATATATCATCTTAAACCTGCAAGATTAAACTAACTTCAATCAGTTAATTATAGCTTTGGAGATTTCCCTTGTTTGAAAAATCCAAATTCATTACAGTTCCCCATTGACGAGTCTTCTTTTTTTCATATTCAAATCTTTCTTTCTTTCTATCTTTCTTTTTTTCTATCTCTCTTTTTTCTTTCTCTCTCTATATTTCTGTGTTTCTTTCTTTGTTTCTTTATTTCATTTGGCTTTTTTTCTTTCTGATTATTTATTTCTCTGTTTATTTACTTCTTTATTTTAGTTTCTCTTTTCTTTTTACTTCCTCTCTATTTTTTTGTTCCTTTGCTTCTTCCTTTCTTATTTTCTTTCTTTCATTCCTTTTTCTTTATTTTTGTTTTTCACTCCTTCTTTTTCTTTCTTTAGTTCTTTGCTTCTTTCGTTCTTTCTTTTGATTTTTCTTCTTTTGCTTTCCTGTCTATTATTTTTTCTTTCTTTCTTATTTTTTTCTTTCATTCCTTTTTGTTTTTCAGTCCTTTTTTCTTTATTTCTTTGGATTTTTTCGTTTGTCATTTTGTTTACTATTTTCTTGGCTTCTTTTTTTATTTACTTCCATTATTTTTCATTTTTCTTTTTGCTTTCTTTCTTATTTTCTTCATTTTGTTTTTCACACGTTCTTTTTCTTTCTTTCGTTCTTTGCTTCTTTCTTTCTTTCTTTCTTTCGTTTGATGTTTTCTTCTTTTGACTTTCTATCTACCATTTTCTTTTTCTTTCTTTCTTTCTTATTTTCTTTCTTTCATTCCTTTTTTTCTTTTTTTTTTTTCAGTAAATTTTTTTTCTTTTCTTTCTTTTTGTTCTTTGCCCTTTTTTTTGATTTTTTTTTTTTTGTCTTTCTGTCTACCATTTTCTTTTCTTCTTTCTTTCTCGCTTTCTTATTTTCTTTCTTTTCTTCTTTTTCTTTTTTTTTTCAGTTTTTTCTTTTAAATTCTTCTCTTCTTTTTTCTTTTTTTTCTTTCTTTTTTTTTTTTTTTTTTCTTATCTAATTTTTCTTTCTTTCTCTCTTTTTATTACTTTCTTTTTTTGATTTTTTTTTTTTTTTTTCGTATTTTTTTTTTCTTTCTCCTTCCTCTCTTTCTTTTCTTTTCTTTCATTCCTTTTCTTTTTCTTTTTAAATATAAACGAAAAAAAATCTCTCTTGATAATTTTCCTTTTAAATCATTTATAGGGAAACATTTAGTTTTCTTGATTTCGTTTTTAACATTCGATCAAAAAATTTTTTCTTTCTTTTATTTTTTTCGTTTTTTTCAACGGATTTTTCTTTGCGTTTTTTCTTTTTCTTTTGATTTGGCGGAACCTTTCTGTCATTTTCTTTCTTTCAATTTTCTTTCTTTTCATTTATTTTCTTTCTTTTATTTTTTTTCATTTTTTTTTCTATTGTTCTTGTCGTTTTTCTTTCTTTTTGAATTTTTTCTTTTGCCTTTCTGTCATTTTTTTTCTTTCTTTTATTTTCTTTCTTTCTTTTTTTTCTTTCTTTTTTTTTTTTCGTTCTTTTCTATTGTTCTTTGCGTTTTTCTTTCTTTTGATTTTTTCTTTTGCCTTTCATTCATTTTTCTTTTTTTTTTATTTTCTTTCATTTCTTTTTTCTTTTTCTTTGTTTTATCGTTCTTTTTTTCTTTTTTTCTTTGAATTTTTTCTTTCTTTTGATTTTTTTTTCTTTTTGCCTTTTTGTCATTTTTTTCTTTTTATTTTCTTTCTTTCATTTCTTTTTCTTTCTTTTTGTTTTTCACTCGTCCTTTTTTTCTAGAATTTTTTTCGTTTTTTTTTTTCTTTTGATTTTTTCTTTTGCCTTTCTGTCATTTTTTTTCTTTCAAAAATTTTCTTTCTTTCATTTTTTTTTTTCAATTTTTTTTTTTTTTTTTTTTTTTTTCTATTATTTCTTTGCGTTTTTTTTCTTTTGATTTTTTCTTTTGCCTTTCTTTCATTTTTTCTTTTTTTTTTTTTTTTTCTTTTTTTCTTTTTTTTTTTCAGGGCAAACTCGTTCTTTTTTTTCTTTCTTTGCTTTTTTTTTTTCAGAATTTTTTTTCTTTTTCCTTTCTGTCATTTTTTTCTTTCTTTTTTATTTTCTTTCTTTCATTTCTTTTTTTTCTTTTGTTTTTCACTTGAAAAATTTTTTTTATTTTTCTTTGCGTTTTTCTTTCTTTTGATTTTTTCTTTTGCCTTTTTCATTTTTTCTTTCTTTTTATTTTCTTTCTTTTTTTCTTTTCTTTTTTTTTTTTCTCGTTCTTTTTTCTATTGTTCTTTTCGTTTTTTCTTTCTTTTTTTTTTTCTTTTGCCTTTTTTTGAATTTTTTTTTATTTTTTTTCTTTTTTTCTTTAGTTTTTTTTTTCTTTTTTTTTATTTTAAAGACTTTTTTTTTGAATTTTTCTTTGCCTTTTTTTTTTTTTTTTTTTTTTTTTTTTTTTCAATTTTTTTTCTTTTTTTCATTTTTTATATTTCTATTTTCTTTTTTTTTTTTTTTTTTTTTTTTTGATTTTTTCTTTTTCTGGAATTTTTTCTTTCTTTTTTTTTTCTTTTTTCTTTTTTTCTTTCTTTTCTTTTTTTTTTCTTTCTTTTGAGATTTTTTATTTTCTTTTTTTTATTTTTTTTTTTTTTCTTTCTTTTGATTTTCTTTTGCCTTTCTTTCATTGAAGATTTTCTTTTTATTTTTTTTCTTTCATTTCTTTTTTTTTTTTTTTTTTTCCTCGTGAGTATTTTTTCTATTGTTTTTTGCGTTTTGAAAAAAGATTTTGATTTTTTTTTTTGCCTTTCTGTCATTTTTTTTTTCTTTTTTTTTTCTTTTTTTCATTTCTTTTTCAGAAGAGGGTTTTCCTTTTTTTTATTTTTCTTTTCGTTTTTCTTTCTTTTGATTTTTCTTTTGCCTTTCTGTCTTTTTTCTTTCTTTTTTTTTCTTTCTTTTTTTCTTTTTTTTTTTTATTTTAAACTCGTTTTTTTTTTCTATTGTTTTCTTTTTTTTTTTTTCTTTCTTTTTCTTTTTTTCTTGAAACCTTTCTTTTTTTTTTCTTCAATTTTTTTTCTTTTTTCTTTTTTCTTTTTTTTTCTTTTTCTTTTTTTTTTATTTTTTGAATTTTTTTTTTTTTTTTTTTTTTGATGACTAAACCTTTCATTCATTTTTCTTTCTTTTTAATTTTCTTTTCATTTCTTTTTTTTCTTTAGATTTGCAATTTCTTTTTTTTTTATTTCTTGTTTTTTTTTTTCTTTTGATTTTTTTCTTTTTGCCTTTCTGTCATTTTTCTTTCTTTTTTATTTTTCTTTTTTCATTTCTTTTCTTTCTTTTTATTTTTTTGGTTCTTTTTTCTTATTGTTCTTGAAGATTTTTTCTTTCTTTTGATTTTCTTTTTTTTTTTTCATTTTTTTTCTTTTTTTTTTTCTTTCTTTCATTTCTTTTTTTTTTTTATTTTTTTCTTTCTTTTTTTCTATTGTTCTTTGCGTTTTTCTTTCCATTTTTTTTTTTTTTTTTTTCATTTTTTCTTTTTTTTATTTTCTTGCACAAATTTCTTTTCTTTCTTTTCATTTTATTTCGTTTTTTTCTATTATTCTTTGCGTTTTTTTTTTTTTTTTTTTTTTTTCTTTTGCCTTTCTTTTTTTTCTTTTTTTTTTTCTTTCTTTCATTTCTTTTTCTTTCTTTTTTTTTTTTCACTCGTTCTTTTTTTCTATTTTTTTGCATTTTTTTTTTTTTTTCAACAATTTTGCCTTTCTGTCATTTTTCTTTCTTTTTATTTTCTTTCTTTTTTTAATTTTTTTTTTTTTTTATTTTCACTCGTTTCTTTTTTTCTATTGTTCTTTGGTTTTCTTTTTTTGATTTTTTTCTTTTGCTTTTCTTCATTTTTCTTTCTTTTTATTTTATTTTCTTTCATTTCTTTTTCTTTTTTTTTTTTTACTCGTTCTTTTTTTTCTTCTTTGCTTTTTTCTTTCTTTCAATTTTTTTTTTTTTGCCTTTCTGTCATTTTTTTCTTTCTTTTTTTTTTTTTTTCATTTTTTTTCTTTCTTTTTTTTTTTTTTCTTTTTTTTAATTTGTTTTCTTTGCGTTTTTCTTTCTTAGAATTTTTTTTTTTTTTTGCCTTTTTTTTTTTTTTTTTTTTTTTT